GCATCTTAACATATCTGGACTTTTTCCTCTCCCTGTTATCTCTCCCATCACTGAAATTTAAACCATCAGCCCCTCAGGTCAGGGATCTCTCTTTTTGCTAATGTTACTTTTGTCAAGTGCAACACACGCTGCTGTTGCCATGTAAATTGCTTTCACTAACCAGCTTTCCAGAGTCTGAGCCACAGAAGTTTAGCGGAAGCACCAGTTTGATGCTAAGGATTATTAGGAAGGGAACTAAAAACAAAATGGCCAGTCGCGTTACAGTGGTTTTGCACACTACAGTGAACTATGGCATGGCCACACTGGGAATGCCAACATACTGTTCTGGTCACCCCAGATCTAATTGTGAAGCTGGAAACACTACTTTGCACAGTACTTCATTGGTTTAGGGAATACCTTGCCATTAAGATGTGGTGTTCCCTACTAGTGTAGACAGATATCAAGGTGGAGGAGGCAAATTCATGGGGAAGCCTTTTATCACAAGAGAAGCCAATGTTGGATCAGGGCAATGGCCCATCCAGTCCAACACTCTGTCACACAGTGGCCAGAAATACCAGGTACCATCAGGAGGTCCAGTAGTGGGGCCAGGACACTAGAAGCCCTCCCACTGTTGACCCCCCCTAAGCACCAAGAAGACAGTGCATCACTTGCCCCAGAGATCCTATCTATACCTTGTGGCTAATAGCCACTGATGAACCTCTGCTCCATATATTAATCAAATTCCCTCTTGAAGCCGTCCATGCTTGTAGCCGCTACCACCTCCTGCGGCAGTGAATTCCATGTGTTAACCACTCTTTGGGTGAAGAAGTACTTATCAGCATCTATTTGCCTGACCTGGATAGCCCAGGATAGCCTGATCTAATCAGACCTCAGAAGCTAAGCAGGGTCGGCCCTGGCTAGTATTTGGATAGGAGACCTCCAAGGAATACCAGGGTCATGACATGAAGGCAGGCAAGGGCAAACCCTCTCTGAATGTCTCTTGCCTTGGAAACCCCACGGGGCCACCATAGGTCAGCTGTGACTTGACGGCACTTCGCACCACCAGCACGTTTGCCATAATGGCAAAGTAGAACCTCCTCATGCAGAGGTCGTGTACCTCTGTGTGCCAGTGCCTGAGAGACGATGGCAAGAGGAAGCTTTGGCCTCTGTGCTCAACCTGCAGGCGTTCCAGGGGGCATCCATCCGACCACTGTGAGAAACAGGATGCTGGATTAGAGGGACCTCTGGCCCGATCCAGCAGGGTTCCTGTTGTTAAAGAAATACCAGTGTTCCCTCTAAGCTGAGTGAGTGTGAGCCAGCTCAGTTCTTTAGCCTCCGGCTCACGCATTTTTGTCTCAGCTCAGGAAGGAGGGCTCCAGAGCAAACTGATTTATGCAGTAGCCAAATCGCTCGCTCGCAACTTTAATGTCAGGAACACACAAAGTAGAATTTTTGCTCACAAGGCTCCACAGCTTAGAGGGAGCCCTGCCTAAGACCTATAGCTAGAGGATGTCTTTAGACTTAAACCAGAGACAGAAGTTAAAGAACCACAGAAATGGAAATTACCCTAGAGGCCATCTAGTCCAACCCTCTGCTCACTGCAGGATCAGATTAGAGCCTCCCTGACAAGTGTTCGTCCAGCTGCTGCTTGAAGACTGCCAGGGAGGGGGAGCTCACCACCTCCCTGGGCAGCTGATTCCACTGTGGCACAACTCTGACTGTAAAAAACCCCCAACAAACTCAAATTCCTACTGTATCTTATATGAGAAATCCTAGAACTGAATTCTCATCAAGTAAAGCTCTTGTCACTGAGGGCTTTTAAGCTTTTCCCCACCAGAAAACAAGTTTTTAAAAACATTTAGGACAACTTGCTGCGCTGCAGATGTTTGGGGCTGGGCTGAATTCCCTTAAAAGCAGTTTTCAAAGTCACTCCCTCACAGGGGTTAACCTCTCTTTTTTAAAAAGGTTACTCGCCGTCTAAAAATACATAATTATGCACTGAAGTCTTTCAACTGGCCCAATGAAAAACATGTGTCTATGCCTTACAGAGGATCTTGTTCAGAATTAAGGGCGTGGAGGTTTGGGGTGGGGGGACAACGACAGGACGAATGCCTGTACAAACAGAGAGAGATCGTTCAGAGTGATTCTCAGATTAGCTTTGCACTGAACCGAGATCTAAGGGGATTTGGGGAAGAGGGGGGGGAGCGGAGCAGCTCGTTTCAGACATGCCTTGTAGCATCAAGGTTAAAACAGGAGGAGAAGACTGACATACTCCTTATTGAAGGTCTCTGCACAAAATCGGGTCCAATTTTCACGATCAGTGCTGTCGAAGTGAACAATCAGGTCTGCGTTTTAATTTTCCATTTTTTTAAAGCAAAGCTGTGTAAGAAGCCTCAAAATATGTGTTATTATTTCAGATGCAGTTAGTCACTCTCTTCAAATAAGCCCTCTACAACTGAGCCTTAGATAGATTTGAGTGCGGTAGCGCCTTAGAGACCAACAAGACAGTCAAAGCTCACTTCGTCAGATACAAGTAAGACTCAGGGGTCTCTACGCCTACTTGTATCTGATGAAGGAAGCGCTGACTCTCGAAAGCTTATACCTCAAAAATCTTGATGGTCTCTTAGCTGCTACTGGACTCAAATCAAGCAGTTCTACTCCAGGCCGATATGACTGCCCACCTTGAACCGAATCTTAGTGAATCATCCACTTAAAACCCCAAAGCTCTGAGTTACAGTTACAGGATTACAGCTGCACTTCCTATGATGGCAAACTGAATACTTGCAACCTCCCAGGAAGCGCTCCATACTAAAGGACTAATCACCAACCTGTACACTGCAAGATTTAAAGGTTTCTATGACCTCATAACATTCATTCCTCCACACAAGACGTAGCCTAGAGCATCTGTGCATTCTTTTCCACACAAGAGGCTGCCTGGTGCAACTCTGTGTTTTTTTACCACTCTGGTGCTGCCTCTTTTCATCACCAGCTACTACGAATGGGTAATTTTGTGCAGCATCTACTTATCAGGTGTGATCGGAGAATTCGGTTCCTCTTGGCTTAAAGGGTTCAGTGGCTTTAACAGCCCGAAGGGGGAGTTTTATCAGGGAGTTTTATCGTTGAATGGGGACCACCAGTTGCTGTTCTAGAATTGAGATCCTCCAGGCATGAGCAATTCTCACACATTCTAAAGCATGAATCATCTCGGCTGTATGAAAAAAAAGAGCATCTCCAGTTTTAATTTAGACAGCTGATGGCGGCAGGTAACAAGTTTGGGGAAATACTGTTGGCAAGTAAGTGATGGCACCGGCTTCAGCATGAACATACTTAAGAGGGCACTGTAAACGTCTTGAGAGAGCTCAAATCCACAGGATACACACCCCTCTGTGTCATGTAAAGCAGCCCCCTCCTCTCATACTCATGGAAGCTTGCTGTGGTTTCTCAGTTGGGAAGGGGATGGCCTAAACGTGCTCAGAGGCACTCTTGTTCACATCTCCTATTTCTCCTTAGTACTGAAAACAGCGCCAAGACTCAGTCTCAACTCATGTTCCTCTCCAGCCAACCTCCCAAGAAGTCAATGGGGCTGTGCTGGCTTATATCCAAGCATCTCACTTTAACTGCATCAGGACACTGAAATGGCATCCCGCAGACCACTTCCTTTACATTGGGATCACAGGTATTCCTACATTGAGCACTTCCTCACACAATGTATAATTTGCTTTTGGAACTCATTACCACAAGCACATGGTGGTGGCCACAAATTTTTCAGGCTTCTAAAAAGAAGAAGAACTGGATTCATGGAGGACAGATGTTTATTAGCCACGATACCCAAACAGAACCTCCAGCTTCAGAGGCAGTACACCTCTGAGTTCCAGATGTTGGGGGTGAGCGTCAGTGGCAGGCTGTTTCCTTGGTCTGACCCTGTCCAGGAGTTCTTAAGACATCTGTAAGTTGCGACCACACGCATACAGCAAGCTGTTCACTGGGGCTACCCCAAATGTAAGGGGTACAGTGGGAGCATCATTCTGACTCTGCATCCTGCAAGACCTTCTTACTCTCACTGTCCTGAAGAAGTCATTCACGGACTACCAAATCCTCCACATGCATACGCAGAAGTAATTCCTACCATCTCTGGTTAGCCTTAGGGAAAATGAACCCAGGATTGCAGCTTTTTAAAAAAAACTGATTAAATTAGCTGATCATTTTTACTGTGAACTGGAACAGCTACGGCTTGCAGTTGTGACAGGCCACAATCCATTCCAGTGCACCCTCCCAGGTGTGACTCCTCTGGAGTAAAGATGGGCTGCACCGACTGCAGCTTACTCCCATGCTTCTTCCCCCCCCTTTTTCCTGTTACTTTTTCCTTTTAATAAATAAGATTCTTTAAACCTCACAGGGGATGTACCCAGAACAACAAGAAAATAACTCACACATGGGGGGGTGGGGTTAAGTTAAAAAAACGTTCAGCTCAAAGAAGCGAGCCTGTGACTCACAAAAGCCCCTGCCCTGCCGCAAATTATGCTTTAAAGTGCTCCTGGACTCTTGCTTTTTTCTACTGCTACAGACAAACAGGGCTACCCATCTCGATAAAGAAACTTGGGCTTCAACCCAAAGGGAGGTGGGCGCCGACACAACATTTTAAAATACTTTGCCTAGTGGGGGAAGCAGAATGAAAACCATTCCAAAGGGTCCAGCTGTCCATTTGCACCAACATGAAAATGGGTTTGAAATCAGTGACTCACCCCTCAAGTCCTCTTCCACCATAACCTGCTATTTCAGAAGAGGTTCAATTCATTCTTTTCCAAAGCATGCAGGTTTCTAAGCCACTTAAAAACAGAAGCCGGGGGGGGGGGGGGGGGGGGAGAAGCAACAAGTGGGGGCGAACTCAACAACAAAAACAACACTCCTATCCAAGAGAGAAAGGAAAAGTTTGCCAGCTCTGCGGGCTCCTAAGCAGCCGCCACGATCCGAAGCGGCCGCGTCCACACGCCGACCCCCCTCCGGTGCCCACTCCGGGTTACCTTGCACGAGTAGGTCTGATGCACCGGATCCACGTTGACGATTTCCTCCACCGTCCCCGTGAGGACGACGTTGGCCTCCTCTTCCCTCCGCTCCAGCTCTCTCTCGGGGCAGCTTCCGTCGCAGCCCCCCAGCCAAGACGCCAGCAGCGGGAAGACGAAGACGAAGAAGAAGCAGGCGAGGGGCCGGGGGGGTCTCTTCTCCCACCCCATCGCGGCACAAAAGGAAGGGGGGGGGGCAAGCAAGAAGGCGCAGGGAGGCTTGCAACAGGATCCACAGCCAGGCGATCAAGCCCTGCGGCCGCCCGCCTGCACCCAACGCGCGAGCCGGGGCTGCATGGATCGCCGCCGGAGACTCCGGTTACTTTAAGGGGGGGGGGGGGGAGAGAAATCTGGGAGGGGGGCTTAAAAAAAGAGAGAGGAAGAGCTCGATTGCGAGCTCCGAGCAGGGAAGGAGGTTTTTGCTCCTCTCCTCCGTTTGCTTTGCTCGCTCGCTCTTTTGCCAGTGTGAGAAAAACCTTGCAGAGAGAGAGAGAGAGAGAGAGAGAAGCAATGCTGAGAAGGAAAAGGGGGAGGGGGGAAGCCGAGGGGAGGCCTGGCCAAAAATAAGGGGTGGGGGGAGAGAAAAGAGCGAGCGAGCAAAGAAAAGAGAAGAAAGGGGCGAGAGCGCTGCCTCTGCTCCTTGCTGGCTGCCTTCGGCGCGAGGGGGAGAGACGCCACCCGCAGGAAGGACGGCTCACATCAGGTTAATGGATAATCAGGGCCTCCAAACGTGATGTGACTTCTAAAGGTGGCGCGCTGGGAAGACGCGGGCTAGTGGAAGGAGCCCCCCCGCCGGCTTCTCCTTTGCAAAGGCCGCGCCGGCTTTTCAAAGCCGGCTCGTCTCCTGGCGTTCCACTGTCTTTGGCCTTTTGTCCGCCGCCGGAGGGAAGGGGGCTTTACGGGGGTGGCCAACTTTTTAAAAAATATATATATATTCCTGGCGACTTGTGCTTTTAAAGGCTGCCAAGGAATTCAGGCGGTGGAGCTTGCGGGGATCAGGAGGCTTCCCCTGTTGAATTTCGAACCGCGAACGGCTCAAGGGCCTGGCTGGAAACAGCAATGCAGAAATGACACGCATGAAAGTATATATATAAGGGTGCTGGAATTTCCTTTCCTGCTTGTATCTGATGAAGGGAGCTGAGACTCCCGAGCCATGTTGTTCTGTTCTGTTCAATTCAAGTCCAGTAGCACCTTGGAGCGGTAACCCCCGACCCCCTTTTGAGCCTGCAGACACCTTTGGAATTCTCATATAGTGTGGCAGCCACAGACTGGCTACCACAAAACAACTGCCACAGAAGGCAAAACTAGCCATGAAATGGCTGCCACTGCTTACTTTGAATCACACAGTGAAGATCTTTGCATCGTGGTGGCAGCTGCTGCCAAAGCTGTGTTTTTTAAAATCTGCACAGCCAATCAAATCTCCGGTGGCCAATCAGAAGCCTTGCTGGGCAAAAGCTCCACCAGGCCCCACCCACTTTCTAAAACCAGTCTGTGAGCACCAAGAAACATGTCAGCCTGGCAAGACGGCCTGTATGGCCCCTTGCAACTCTGTGATTCCATGATTCTAAGCACCATGGTGCCCGTGGGCGCCATGTTGAGGACCCCGTCTTAGAGAAATGCCTAGAAGCACTACGAATGCTGGTTTTTCTGTCCCTAAGCCTTTCTCTCATACGCTTTATCAAACTGGTTACATGTTGCATTGTACCTCTGATTCCTGACTCCTTTCTTTGCTCTGCAGCCTGACTTTTCCCCTTTGCAACACCTTCGGACTGGTATATGAGGACTCTGGGATCTCCATTCCTTCTTGCATCTTATGAAGGGAGCTTCAAATCTCAAAAGCTCATCCCCTGGGGATCTTGTTGGTCTCTAAGATGCTGCCAGACTCAAATCGGGCTACATGATTCCCCTTGATTTTTTACCCCCGATGCACCAAAAAGAGAGGAAAGGGGAATTACAGCAGAAGAGAACTGCAGATGCAACTGAGGCAATGCAGGATACCAATCATAGACCTGTTTACTGAGAAACAAGACCTGAAACTGAGCATCAAAAAAACTAAGACCATAGCATCCGGCTCCATCACTCCTTGGCAAATAGAAGGGGAAGTCATGGAAGCAGTGACAGAATTCACGTTCCTGGGATCCAAGATCACCGCAGATGGTGACTGCAGCCATGAAATCAAAAGACGCCTGCTCCTTGGGAGGAAAGCGATGGCGAACCTAAACAGCATGATAAAAAGCAGAGACATCACCCTGCCAACCAAAGTCCGTATGGTCAAAGCAATGGTATTCCCAGTAGTAATGTATGGCTGCAAGAGTTGGACCATAAGAAAGGCCAAGCGCCGAAGAATAGATGCTTCCAAATTATGGTGCTGGAGAAGACTCTTGAGAGTCCCTTGGACTGCAAGGAGATCAAATCAGTCAATCCTAAAAGAAATCAACCCTGACTGTTCCTTGGAAGGCCAGATACGGAAGCTGGAGCTCAAATACTTTGGCCACTACCAAATGAGAAGGGAGCACTCACTGGAGAAGACCCTGATGCTGGGAAAGATTGAAGGTCAAAGAAGAAGGGGGCAGCAAAGGATGAGATGGTTAGACAGTGTTACCGATGCAACGAACATGAAATTAAGCAAACTCTGGAGGATGGCGGAAGACAGGAGGGCCTGGCGTGATGTGGTCCATGGGGTTGCAAAGAGTCGGACTCGACTGTGCGACTAAACAGCAACAAGACCTGATTTACACATGCAGGAGAATGAGGTGGTAGAACGGACTATACCACTGCTGGCTGCAGGTGGAGGAACCCATCTTGGAATGCCCTCCTATGTTAACAAAATAAGAACATAAGACCACAGCTGAATCGGACCAGTGGCCTGTCTAGTCCAGCCTCCTGTCTCACACAGTGGCCAACCCGTTCCTCTGGAGTTGTGAACAACAAGGCAGAGAGGCTGAGGCCTTCCCCTGATGTTGCCTCCTGGCACTGGGATCCAGATGACTGCTTCCGAATGTGGAGGTTCCCTGCAGAATTCCCTTGAAACCTCCCTGCAATTAGAAAATTACGACTGCAAGCCCAGAGAAGGAACAGGAGCTGCCTTAGAATTTCTGTTTGCCTGGAGTGTTCCCTGTGAAGGCACAGTCAAAGCCGGAGTCCCTCACCTGCGGCCGGGTGCATTCCTTTCTACCACCTCATTCTTTGGCATGTTTGAACCAGGCCCAAATCCCACTGAGTTTGGTGTGACTTTTTCCTACCATTCGATGCCGCTCTTGAAGGGCAAAGTACAATGGTAGGCATGTCAAACGACCAGGGGGACTCAGCCCGGTTCACTCTGGTACTTTTAAATAATTGCTTCGTTTGTGGGAATACAGAGTCCTGAAAGGGGGGGTGGGGGGTGGAACCAAAGTGGTAGAACGGGTGGAACCAAAGTGGTAGAGCTCTTCACCTTTCCGGGCCTACCAAAAGCAACAGATGGGTCAGTTTTGATTGGCAAAATCACACAAGTGAGGTAGGATTTAGGGTGGCCAGCTTCACATTGGGAAATTTCTGGAAGGAGAAGAGAAGAAGAGATTGGATTTATACCCCGTCCTTCACTTGGAGTCTCAGAGCGGCTTGCAAACTCCTTTCCCTTCCCCTCCCCACAACAGACACCCTCTGAGGTAGGTGGGGCTGAGAGAACTCTGACAGAAACTGCTCTTTTTCAAGGACAGCTGTGCCAGAGCTTGTGACTGACCCAAGGTCACATCAGCAGGTGCGAGTGGAGGAGTGGGGAATCAAACCCGGTTCTCCCAGATTAGAGTCTGCACACTTAACCACGACACCAAACTGGAGAGTTGGGGGTGGAGCCTGTGGAGGGTATAATTTGGGGAGGGACTTTAGTGGGATGCAGTACCCAGAGCAGCAGAGACATTTTCTCCAAGAGAACTGATTCGTGTAGTCTGGCAATCAGATGTAATCCCAGGCAATCTCCAGGGCCCACCGGGAGGTCAGCAATCCTAGACTGTGCCCTCTCTTCCACCACTACCACAGTTTGACGTTTTAAGTGGGTGATTCACTAAGATTCGGTTCCAGGTGGGCAGTTGTATTGGTCTGGAGTAGAACAGCTTGATTTGAGTCCAGTGGCACCTTAGAGACCATCTGGATTTTGGGGGTATAAGCTTCCGAGAGTCAGAGCTCCCTTCATCAGATACAAGTGGGCGTAGAGACCCCTGAGTCTTACTCGTATCTGACGAAGTGAGCTTTGACTGTCTTGTTGGGGGCCTCGCTCCCCCTCCTGTTTTATCTGGCTCCTGTGACCACACCCTATAGCACTTATCTACACAGGTCAGCCTCTCTCTTCCAGCCATACCCAAAGGCAGGGGTTATTTCCTGCGGGAGAGCACAGGAGCGGAGCTCCGGCAGTAAGGAGCCCAGGGGACGGGCACATGCAACAAGCCCTGCTCCCTGCTCCCAGCAGCCCTCAGTCGGGCCACGAGGAGCAAGAAGCAGCCAGGTAAGTTGCAGAGCCCCCCCCCCCGGCCCGCCTTCAGGTACAAGCTCTTCCTCCTCTGTGCGATCTATGCGTTCCCCCCCCCCCAATAGCTAGCAGTCCAAAACAGTTCAGTGGAGCCTGAGCAGTGGGTGTTGCCTTCTGACACACTTCCAGTGGTCAGGGGGTGTGACATATGCCAATAAATTATGCTAGTGAGCTCCTGCACCTCTTTTTCTATGAAATGACCCCTGCCCAAAGGGCTTTGTGCCTTTGATATGCACATTTAGTACATAAACCCGCTTAGTCCTTGATAATACCATCACTCAGCATGTGGAATCATTGGGGTCTAATTTACCATCATAGTAAGTGCAGCTGTAATCCTGACTGGCAAATCGCTCAGAGCTTTGGATCAGTTTGGCATTTCACATAAAGGCCCTTTGCTCAAAACAACAAATCAACTCAATCTAGAGCTCAAGATTTCCAGGTTCTCTGCTCCAAACATCAGTCTAGCTAGTGGTCTCTTCTTGCTTCCAAACATGGCCTGACCTTGCCCCGTCCTTCGATTCAGTTGTTCTCCCCACCCCCCCTTTATGGCCAGCTGTCCCTGACAATTATTGCAAATCTAATCAGAAACCTTAAGTGGTACCTGGGGAAGGATAAGACACTTTTTCATCTCTAAATCAGCCTTCCCCCAGGAGACATTTATCGTAGG